AAAATTAGCTGGGCATGGTGGTGCGTGCCTGTAATCCCAGCTACTCAGGAGGCTGAGGCAGGAGAATTGCCTGAACCCAGGAAGCGGAGGTTGCGACGAGCCGAGATCGCGCCATTGCACTCCAGCCTGGGTAACATGAGTGAAACTCCATCTCAAAAAAAAAAAGAAAAAAAGTGAGTATTGCTTCAGGGTCCATTTCATGAGCCTAAGCTGTAGCTGGAGAAAACAAAAGGTTTCCTCTACAGCAGTGACTGTAAGAATACACTGTCATGGCAACAATTCAAAGCTGAAAATGACAATTCAAGTTACTGAAGAAACAGGACATTTGCTTTCTGGCACTCATGAAGGTAGCAACATTAAAAAGGCGGTAATTTATTTGCATATTCAGTCGCAAAGATAAATGTGTCAGCTTGCTTTGGGGTTGATCGTTTATGAAGTATACCTCTTCAAAGCCAGATGTGATTCTATCTGATAACCAGGGAAAGGTGACAGCAGTTCCCGGGAGCTCATTTTTCTTTTGTACTACCAAAAAGAAAAAAAGGCGGGGGAGTAGTCTGCCATGCCCCTTTACTCTCTCTTCTGTCTGAAAATGAGCCTCCCAGGGCTGGCTCACAAGACATTCCTTCTGAGAAGCCTTCCTCATATCCTTTGTGGTCTGGTCATGGAGCCCGCTAGTGCTTAAGACACCATGTTCACTTCTCTGTGGGCATCTTTTGCCTATCACGGACCGAGTTCATCAAACCACCTGGCTGTCAGCAGTGTCTGGCACATAGAGGTCCCTCACCAAATGCTGACGGCAGATGACCAGCCGTGGCTGGTGATTTCGTGAGGCTGATTCTCAAGCCAGCTTGGGTCAGGAGCGGCAGTGCTGCTGGTGGAGGAGGCGGCTGGAAACTACACATGCGTGGTCCACAGATCCAACCGTGGGAACTGTTATCATAGGCGATCTTGGGTTTTTCTTTCTTTTTTTTGGAGACAGTCTCACTCTGTTGCCCAGGCTGGGGTGTAGTGGTGTGATCTCGACTCACTGCAACTTCTGCCTCCCAGGTTCAAGCGATTCTCCTACATCAGCCTCCCAAGTAGCTGGGATATTACAGGGACCTGCCAACACACCCAGCTAATTTTTGTATTTTTAGTAGAGATGGGGTTTCACTATGTTGGCCAGGCTGGTCTCGAACTCCTGACCTCAGGTGATCCAACCACCTCGGCCTCCCAAAGTGTTGGGATTACAGGCATGAGCCACCGTGCCCAACCCAATCTTGGGTTTCCGAAGCACTTTTCCAGTAAGAACCTCTGCTTACTGACAATGACACCATCATTTCTCATCTTAAATAGAAAAGTCTCCTAATCTTTGGCTTTTATAACAGAACTGGAAAAGCTCAGAAAATATCCTACCTCTGAAAAATTATTTTTCTTTAAAAAAATCAGAGACAAAGCAATTGAGCTTAGCTCCCAATACATAAAAATAACTCATGTCACCTCCAAGTTGGGCAAAATTCCTTATCACAAATGTTCAATATGTGTAGCCAGGATACGAGATAAAAGTAAAAATCAGAAAGCTAAGCAGGCTTTCAGAGTAGATCTTAAGTAAGAAAAAATACTGCCATCAGATTTTTTAAAGGTCTTGTTTGATAATATCCTAATTAAGCTATAGAAATTTCTGCCAAGAGAAACATGAAAAAGCCAATAGTAGGAAATTGGTTAAGTAGATCATAAGAAACTCAGAAAAAGGAATACTTCGTAACCAGTAAAATGATGGTACAGAAGGTTGTTTTATCAACTGTGTTCAATGGAAAACAGAATACAATATGTGGGGTATAAGCCTATTTAAATAAAATGTATGTATATTTATACCAAATTGTTAACCATAATTATCTCTACATAGTAGCAATGTGTGTGATACTTCTTTTTTGCTTGTGTATTTACTAAATTTTATAAGAATATATGTACTACTTTTAGAATAACAAAAATACTTTTAAGTTTGGTTTTTTTTTTAAGGCCTGTTGAGCACCTCTTGCGATTAGGCAGTATTTGGTAAGCTCTTCCTGCAAAGGAAGGGCAAAAACAGGGCAAACATGGTGAAAACAATAACTGGGGCAGGGAAAGGAGAGGAAAGAATATCACGTTACCTGATGCTGGATGCTTTTCCCTAGTATCTTTTTTTGACACAGTCTTGCTCTGTTGCCCAGGCTGGAGTGCAGGTGGCGTGAGCTTGCCTCATTACAACTTCTACCTCCCGGGTTCAAGCAATTCTCCTGCCTCTGCCTCTTAAGTAGCTGGGATTATAGGTGTGCACCACCACGGCTGGCTAATTTTTGTATTTTTAGTAGATACATGGTTTCAGCATGTTGGCCCAGCTGGTCTTGAACTCCTGGCCTCAAATGATCCACCCGCCTCAGCCTCTCAAAGTGTTGGGATTACAGGTGTGAGCCACCACACCCAGCCCTGTAGTATCTTAACTATTCAGTCCTCGAATCTAGTCCTAGGCTGAGGCATTTTATTCCAACATAAGAATTCTGAATATAGTCTATAAAAAATCTTCTAAGAAAATGCCAACTACCACAGAATGGTTATGCCCTAGCAAAAGAAGTAAGTCAGTATTCAGGTAAATGGAAATTCTATTATCTAACAGAATACAGACTGACCTCTAATATTCTCTTAGCTCATCTTTGATACACTATCCAGGACTCTTTCTCCAATTGTTTTGGACTTTTTGGGGCGGTGGGAGAATGGGGTCTTGCTATGTTGTCCAGGCTGGTCTCAAACATCCGGGCTCAAGTGATCCTCCCACCTCAGCCTTCTGAGTAGCTGGAATTACAGCAGAAGCAGAAGCCACCATGCCTGGCTTCCTTCAGCTACTTTGTCTGTGCCTTTTCAGTTTTGGCAAAATTCTTTGGGTTTCTTGCCCACATGTTAATGACCACCATAAAATGCAGAGTTCAAGGAAATATCCCTGCATCAGAAAAATATATTTGAGATTATCTTAAATGCATTTCCTTTCCAATTTTTGTTTTGTTTTTGAGGCAGGGTCTCGCTCTGTTGACCAGGTTGGAGTGCAGTGGCTCCATCATAGCTCACTGCATCCCATGTGGCTAGGAATACAGGCACATGCTATGACACCTAGCAAATTTTTTTTTTTTTTTTTTTTTTTGAGATGGAGTCTCGCTCTATCGCCAGGCTGGAGTACAGTGGGGCGATCTTGGCTCACTGCAAACCTCCACCTCTTGGGTTCAAGCGATTCTCCTACCTCAGCCTCCTAAGTAGCTGGGACTACAGGTGCTCGCCACAAAACACCCAGCTAATTTTTGTATTTTTAGTAGAGACAGGGTTCATCATGTTGGCCAGGATGGTCTAGATCTCTTGACCTTGTGATCTGCCTGCCTCGGCCTCCCAAAGTACTGGGATTACAGGCGTGAGCCACCTTGCCTGACGACACTCAGCTAATTTTTTTATTTTTTGTACAGATTGAGTCTCACTATGTTACCCAGGCTGGTCTCAAACTCCTGGCCTCAAGCAATCTTCCCACCTCAGCCTCCCAAAATGATGGCATTACAAGTGTTAGCCACTGTGCCCAGTCCTCCAATAACTTCTTTTTCTTCTTCTTTTGTTTTTTAAAGATGGACTCTCACTCTGTTGCCCAGGCTGGAGTGCAGTGGTGTGATCTCAGCTCAATGTAACCTTTGCCTCCCGGGTTCAAGCCATCCTCCTGCCCCAGCCTCCTGAGTAGTTGGGATTATTTTTAGTAGAGGTGGAGTTTCACCATGTTGGCCAGGCTGGTCTTGAACTCCTAACCTCAGGTGATTCACCCACCTCGGCCCCCCCAAAGTGCTGGATTACAGTGGCGAGCCACCACACCCAGCCCCCAACGACTTCTTGACATTTAATTATTCATCTTTAATTTATCAGATCCCATCAACTAGGGCAGTAATGCCAACAAATATTTGAAAACTAACTGCAGTTTCCAAAGTGGCATTTATACAATAGCATCTTAAGGCCAGGCACCTATCAGCATTACTACCTTATTTTAAAGCTGTGAAAAGGAAGGTGACATGCAACAGCTAGTGGGGCCTCTGTCTATTGCTTTTGTCTCCAATGTTGCCCAAACACTCACCCCTCAACAGGCCGCTTCATCATCATCTGGGGAACTTACTAAAAACCTATGGTCTTGGGACTCACCCCAGACCAAATGAATCAGAAGCTCTGAGGGTGGGGCCTGGGAATGTCACACTTAATCAGCACCCTCAGTGATGCTGAGAAGCTGGGCTCGAAAACCACCACTGAAAGGTAGGTCAAAAAAGGTGGGTGTAACCAGGCACAATGGCTCACACCTGTAATCCCAGCACTTTGAGAGGCTGAGGTGGGCAAACTGCTTGAGCCCAGGAGTTCAAGAACAGCTTGGGCAACATGACAAAACCTTGTCTCTAAAAAACTTTTTAAAAAATTAGCCTGGAGTGGTGGCACATGCCTGTAAGTCCCAGCTACTTGGGAGGCTGAGGTGGGAGGATTGATCACTTGAACCCAGGAGGTCAAGGCTGTGGTAAGCTGTGATGGAGCCACTGCACTCCAGCTTGGGTGACAGAGCGAGACCATGTCTCAAAAAAAAAAAAAAAGGTGGACTCTCCTCTACTAACCACCCCTGGACCTTGACCACATTCTGGCGGCATGTCAAGGCTTGTCAGGACAGAAAGACGGAGAAAGATACTGGGTGAACTGATCACCGAGAGGACAAGCAACTGTACACATGCTGTGTGGAAATATCTGCCCCTCTGTTACAAGGATCTCTAGTTCTGCCACATGAAGAACGTCTGTTCTCTGCCCTCGTACTTACTTGGTCAGGACAATGGAGACTGCATCGTTGAGAATACTTTCTCCAAAGACCAGCATGTTGAGCACTGGGTCCACATGAAGTGCATTGAAAATAGCAATAGTGGCCACTGGATCGACAGCTGATATTAGGGAGCCAAATGCAAAACTGTAAGAGACAGAGGGAAGGGGAGATTCTGTAACGTGTGTCACTTGGTCCATATATTAAAGCATTGAAGTCAAAGGCCATATTTAACAGAAGGCAATACTACACAGTAGAGCTGAACTATAGAAAGCAGTGTACTTTTTCCCATTTATATACTGCTGACATTGTGGATGGAGTGTGAAAGGCCCACTCTAAATTAAGTTGTTAGGAATTGCCTGGTTTCCTACTGTCAGCACAGAGACTTGACTTTGACCAGTGATCACCAGTGATGGAGATTTTTGCTTAGATATATTTATTATACACCGCCCAGTCCCACGGATCAGAGCAGCTGGAGCCAAATGGTTCATGAGCTCCTGTGTCTGACGTCTGCTCTGCCCCTTGCCACCAGGCCCTTGGAGTGCTGTCTGTGACCAACCCCAGCCTGTACTCAGATTTGTAACATCTAAGAAAGTGTCAAAATCCAGTAGCAACCCCAGCGTACTTTGGGGGTGAGTGGTGTGGACAGCAGATAAAAACACTGAGGCCATCTCCCAACTGGGTCAGTGACCTCCCTGACAGTCCCCGTGAAGATCTTCTCACCCCAGCGGATATGTGCTGATTATTTAAAATGTTTCAGGCATGGAGGCTAACAACAGCAACCTACCATGGCTGGCACTATTCTAAGCACGTCACACATGGTGACTCAACAATCCAGACAGTGACCGTATGTGAGAGTGCTACTACTGCCCCAATGACAGAGGAGAAAACTTCAGGACAACAGGATGATGAAGTAACTTGTCCAAGGTCACTCAGCTAACAAGCGGCAGAGCCTGGCTATCTGCCCAGAGTCGGTGTTGCTACCCCAAATGGTACATACGGCAATACCAAGAGATGAAGGCAAATTCAGACAACAGCAAGTGTGACACAGGAAATCAATTGAGGTGACATGAGAAGGTGGGGTGGGGGGTGTAGGTGTGGAAGCCACTTAGATTGGGGGGTCTGGAGAGGCCTCTCTGAAGAGATGACCCATGTAAGCAAGAACCTACGTGTTAAGAAGCAGCTGGCCAGGCCAAGAGCTGTAGGCAGAATGACAGCAAGCGACCCCTGGGGTGGGAGCAAGCCTGATGCCTGAGGAACAGAAGGTGCATGTGGTGGTGGCGGTGAGGTGAGTGGCAGGAGCCACAGGAGGCTGGCAAGGAAGGCAAGACCAGCTCCCCCGAGGGGCCTTGTGGGCCACATGAGCCTGGACGATTCACTGTCCCTGCCCGCTCGTGATTTTCCCACAAGTCTCTGTGCCGTGCCTGGTGTGATATCTTTCTAGTGCAGCAGAATGGGTGGGTCAGCCCCGTTCCACAACACCAGCCAAAACATGGAGCCCCAATGGCCAGCTTGTGTCAGTCATTAGCCAGACACGCCTGCCCTGAGCTTCCAACCTCACCAAGCCTGGGTCTGGGGGGAAGAGGACGTTGGTCTGGGCAGCCTTCGATGGGTGATCTTATGGCTGCAGGGTCAGGAAGAGGAGAGCTGACTGAGGAAATGCCTGGCTGCCTTGCCAGGTCCAGGTCTCTTCATAAGTCAATCATTTGACCTCTGGTTTCCATGGTAGCTGCCTGTGAATGTGATTCATGTGCATTAATCCAGAGCGCCTCGGGATCCCAGGCTGAGGATTCAGTTCCCAGACTTTGCCTGCCCTCACAGAGATGACATCACAGCTTTGTGATGCTGAATTTTCATCATGGGAGAATTCCCACGGTCTGTACTGGGCATGACCCAGAGACACTTGCAGAAGGCAAGCAGGCAGGCAGGCAGGAAGAAGGGAGGGAAGGAGGAAAGGGAAGGTAACTCCACCAAACAAGTGTCCATCTGGGAGGCCCTCTTTTGTTGATAGCTGGTCCGCAGGCCCTTGCACCACAACCCAGACATGGAGCTTCTGGTTGCTTTTCTATTCCCACTCTCATCAACCGCAGCCACATCACCAGAGGCAGTGAAGGAAGGAGGATGATGTCTAAAAAATGTATCCTAGGACAGGCACAGTGGCTCACGCCTGTAATCTCAACACTTTGGGAGGCTGAGGTGGAAGGATGGCTTGAGCTTAGGAGTTTAGGACCAGCCCGGGCAATACAGAGAGAACCCCATCCCTCCACACACAAAAATTATCTGGAAGTGGTGGCGCACACCTGTAGTCTGAGATACCCGGGAGGCTGAGTCAGGAGGATGGCTTGAGCTCAGGAGTTTAGGACCAGCCCGGGCAATACAGAGAGAACCCCATCCCTCCACACACAAAAATTATCTGGAAGTGGTGGCGCACACCTGTAGTCTGAGATACCCGGGAGGCTGAGTCAGGAGGATGGCTTGAGCTCAGGAGTCTGAGGCTATAGCAAGCTGCGATCATGCCACTACACACCAGCCTCGGTGAAGCGCAGGCCCGCCACAGACTCACAGTTCCCTGTGCTGTGCCTCTCCTACCCCTGCAGGATATGCTTTTTATTTTATTTTTTTAAAATCTGTTTATGGGTATTCACTGCACAATGCTTCACTTTTTCTGTATGTTTAAATTTTTCATAAGAAAAGGCTGGGGCAACATTCATCTTAAGTAAGCCAACTGATGTCTCATGCCTCCTTAAAATGTATAAAACCGCTCTGATCATTGTGGGCACATGTCGTTGGGACCTCCTGAGGCTGTGTCATGGGTGCGTGTCCTCAATCTTGGCAAAATAAACTTTCTAAATTAACTGAAAAAAACAAAACAAACAAAAGGTTGGGAAAAATGCTTTGTATAAACTATGCAACACATTTAGTATGCTTGGGAATCTAAATTGAGGCAGAGTTTTTTTGTATTTTTTTTTTTTTTGAGATGGAGTTTTGCTGTGTCTCCCAGGCTGGAGTGCAATGGTGCAATCTCGGCTCACTGCAACCTCCACCTCCAGGGTTCAAGCAATTCTCCTGCCTCAGCCTCCCGAGTAGCTGGGATTACAGGCGCCCACTACCATGCCCAGCCAATTTTTGTATTTTTAGTAGAGATGGGGTTTTGCCATGTTGGCTAGGCTGGTCTCAAACTCCTGACCTTAGGCAATCCACCTGTCTCGCCCTCCCAAAGTGCTGGGATTACAGGCCTGAGCCACCACACCCAGCCAAGGCAGAGTATTTCTGGTCTCGATCTCTTGACCTTGTAATCCACCCGCCTCGGCCTCCCAAAGTGCTGGGATTACAGACTTGAGCCACCCGCGCCCGGCCAAGGCAGAGTATTTCTGACAGTGAAGATGAAAAGTATAAAATACAAACTGCTGAATCATTGAGAGGTCTGTATTGAAAGAGGGTCATTTAACCTGACTGTCAGCTGTTCTACTTCACATCTTCAGGACCTCATCTTTTAAAGGCCAGAAGCTAGAAGTTCAATTTAAAAATGTATTTTCTTTAATTCCATAACCCCAAAAGACAGTAGCATCAACAAAATGAAAAAGAAATGGACTAAGGTAGTGAAATAATTCAGGATCTCTAAGAGTGAAATCTCTCTCCAGCAAGGTATCACTAGAACAAAACAGAACATGTGCAACAAAGTTATTTTCATGTTTTCTACAGGTTGCAAAAGGTGGTCTGTGGCTCTCATGTTTGGTCTGCATGGTGTTTGTGAAAAACTGGGCAAGCTGTCAACATTGAAAAACTGGAAAATTACAATCTAGAGACCTAGCCTCTTTTTGAAAAAAAAAAAATTGTTTAAAATATCCACTAATATTGGGCCCAGATTTCCGCATGGTAATTATGAGTTGGAGCCGAGAAGTGGCTGTCCCTTCATGCAGAGTGTGTTCTCCCACTGGCCTTGCCCACCTCTGGATTCACACAGCTGGCCAGCTTCCCTCTGTTAAGTGCTCGGCCAGGCCCTGTGGCTGTGTGGGCTTGCGACCCCAGAGCATTCCCCATCCATGGGACCGTCACTTTCTAATAGCAAAGGAAGCTTCTGCACACAGAGAAGAAAGCACAACCCAGCTCTAAGTCAGCGTGTATACAGGGCAATTCTTTTCCTGTCCTCCACCTGAACATCCCAAACACTGATTCAACTCAACTTCACAGAAAGTTATCCAGCATTGTCTGTATCTCTAAGCAGTTGCTCCCAAAACAGGCTGAAGGTTTGAATACTGTGATACCTTCCTTTACTGGGCATTTCTTTTCATTTGCAAAGTACCTACAAAACACAGGACATCAGTTCTGCTTTGTTTCCAGCTGCCACGGAATGTGGCTTTTGCTACTTGTTTATGTATCAAAACTGTCTTACAACAAAAGCTCCAAAATTGATGTCCTGGGCTGGGGTGGGTGGTGAGCGGAGGTGGAAATAGAATTGCATTTGTTATCAGAGACACAGTTCCCATGAAAAGGGTTCCCAGATTCTAGTCCCAAGTTGCTAAACTACTGCTAAATCCTGAAAGCTCTGACTAACCCCACAGCAAGGAGCTGGGGACAAACTTGTGGCCCTGCTGCCCAGCTCCCTAGCCATGCCACAAGACCAAACCAGGTGCCAGTGGTAAATGCAGATACATTGAGCAAGGCTATGTACTCTCAGAGGGGGGAACCCAGGTTACACTCTGCGTGGGCACTTTTTCAGCACTAGATCTGGTACCTTCTGCGAGACAACTGCCTCAACCTACTGAGGCTGCTTCTCACTATGCAGTTCTGGGAATTCTTGGATGGGGCTCATGGGAAGTGCTCACAGGAGTGACTTCAGATGGAGGGGCTTTCTACAATATCCACAATAGAGGTCTTGGCCCTGCTTCCCCGACCCCAGGCTTGGTGGGAATCTCAGAGGAAAGTTTCTCCCTCACTTCCCGCTCCATCCATAATCTATCAAGGAGACAACTTTTTGTTATGGCGACTGAAAAGTCTTGGAAACAATAAGAACACAATGGTAAGGTGTTTGTATGCACATGGGCAGGGCAGTTAGCTGAGCAGAGTTACCCCCCTCCAAAGCTTAAACTAAATCATTCCAATCAGCAGTGCCCAACTAGGGAGCTTCAAAAGTCTTTAGTATAGTTTTGATTCATTTCAGAGGTACAAATTAACTCAGAGTAAGATTCTATAGCAGAAATCCTTACCAAAACTAAATATACAGAGAGAGAATAGAACAGAACCACACCCAGGAAGCAATGTGGAGAAAATGTGCCCCTGTGTGAAAAGCAGTCGCATGGGTGTTACAATATGAAGGATTTACCTGTCTGTCATGTTGAGTTTAGAGATTACATCAGCCTGTAAAATAAAACACACAAACACACAGACACACAAAAAAAACCCTGGAGAACAGCCAAGAAGATTTAAATGTCCATTAGTGCTTTATTAAAACTAATAAGGACATTAATCTTCAGTTCCCAAACCACTTGAAAAATAAAGAAGGCTCCTAAGTTTTTGTTGAAGCATGCATTCCATCAGCATGCAACAGAAGTATGGAAAAGAATGCTACCTTTGTCAAGCCCAATTCACTGCCGTTTCCTTAAGTTTATTCTTACTTAATACTAGAAGCTGAGCAATAAAAAAAGCTGCATGACAGACAGATTTATTCTGGTGCCATCAAAGCAGCAATATAGGTGAAAATCCAATGGAATGAATTTTGGCTACCGAGAGAAGAAAGCAGCTGACATGTGTTAAATAAATCTGCCTGTCACCCAGACACCTGACCCTCAACTCAGTTTTCAGAACTGGGACAGGCAAACTTTCTGCAACTGACAATAAAGGAAAAGATGCGACATGCGTGGACATGCATAATGCAAAACTACAGATATTACCTTCCTAGGGATGTTTGGTCTACATTAATTTGAATTAATGTTAAGTCTAAAGTAGAGAACACCCAACTGATACCACTGGGACGTGGTTTAGTAATTGTGGAAAATCCAGAGTATATAATTCTACAGGTAGACTGCTTAGAATTGAGTGAACAGATTCAGAATCATCTTTCAGTATTTCTCCAATGCCAGCAGAAAAGCACATGTTTGATTTTAAAATGCAAATTTTGATCAAAAAACAGCATTCAACCCAATTCGGTCTACCTGACAACACAACTGTTTGAAGTTCTTGATGGCATCTATTTGGCTTTATTTTTAGGTATTCCAGTTTAAGGTAGCATTGGTTTGCAAATAAAATCAAATACTATGGGGGGGAGGGGAGTATAGAAAAGCTTTACTAAATTCCAGATACCAAAGGTCTTGGGGGACATGTTGAAACAATTTAGCCTGCCTCTACTGCGCCTCATATGAAGCTAGGATTTTCTTCCAGAAGGAATTTACCCTAAGGATGAAACCCAGGCCCCACGAAGTGGCCCCATTTCACCTTCCCATCTCCTGGCACTAGCTCTAAGAATGTAAGACTTTCAAAGTATTTCAAAGATGATTTTCTTACCTGACCCAGAAAATAAATTCCTCCACCTACTACAAAAGCGGAGATTGCCGTCCCAAACACAGCAAACAGAGTGATGGAACCAATATTCTGAAAAAAGTTACCCTGTTTGAAAGAGCAGAAATCAGGGAAATGATTAGAAAGCCAGTCCTGTCAGTGAAGGCATGGCCTGCACACCTCGCCCTCCTTGCAGATTTGATTCTCGGTAAAAGGTACCACTGCCCGCCCTGCGTGGCCCTGGGAGTCTGGGGGTCCTCCTGCACCACACTCCCCCACCTACTGCAGTGTCCACTAACTCATATCATCTTTCACCTGGAACACTGCACAGCTTCGCATGAGTCACCTCAACATCTCCGGGTCCCTTTCCCTCCACGATCCAGTACTTCCAGAATGATCTTCACAAAAGACAAATCTGATGGTGCTGCCTTCACCTGGACCCCTACTTCCACTTACATTGCAGCTAGGCCAGGCGCAGTGGCTCACGCCTGTAATCCCAGCACTTTGGGAGGCTGAGATGGGCGGATCATGAGGTCAAGAGATCGAGACCATCCTATGGTGAAACCCCGTCTCTACTAAAAATACAAAAAAATTAGCTGGGCGTGGTGGTGTGCACCTGTAGTTGCAGCTACTCGGGAGGCTGAGGCAGGAGAATTGCTTGAAACTGGGAGGTGGAGGTTGCAGTGAGCCGAGATCGAGCCACTGCGCTCCAGCCTGGCACCTGGCGACAGAGCAAGACTCTGTCTAAAAAAAAAAAAAAAAAAAATGCAGCTAGTCCCCATCCTGGATGACTCGACCCCTGGGGAGGCCTCTGGGCTCATCTGGGACCATGTTCGCCTTTGTTCTCTGGGCTCCAGTCCCACTGGTGGCTTCTAGCAGGTTGTGCTCCCTCTTTGCTTGTTAAGCTTGCATCATCCCGAGATCTCAGGACATTTCAACTCTTCCCGATCCCTCAGCCAGCTCCCAGCTCAGATCCTAGTCTATGCTCTCAGGGCACAGTCACCCTCTCTTGTTGCCGTTGACAAGGCTGCAGCTTTGCTCTTATTTATGTAACTGATGTCTGACTTTCCCATGAGGCTGCAGGCTCTGGGCAATGACCACATCTGTGCACAGCACAGTCCCCGACATAACGCCCATCAGATGGAGGACGCCCAACAGACAGGCACTGAAGGAATTAACTGTTTCACGTCTAAGGTCCAAAGTCCACAGAATTAGGATATCAAGATATACTATCAGAGAGTCCTTTTTCCTGGCCATATCTTTTAAACAATTTTACTTCACTCTATTAGTATCATCATTAACATAAAATGTCATAAACATTTTATGACAGATAAAATGTTTCCATCTGCACTTCGCAGCATTTAAGATAAAATATTCAAGTCCAAGTAGCATGGTAACATCTTTCAAATTTCCATAAAATTAAGGAAATTAAGCTATTTATTATAATCCTATGGACTCCATTTAGGAGCCACCAAGAGGCTTTGATCACCCCCGATTGGGGGCGTGAATAAGAATCTTGTTTTTAGCTCAGAAATTGCCAAACCAGGGACATCAGGACCTGGCATTTTAAAGCCCTCTTATGAAACAGTGTCCTCGGCTGAACACTGACTGCCCCCACTAATCCTACCTCCTGGAAGTTTCTTTGCAATTTTGACTTGGCTGCCTAAAGTCTGACATTCAATTCCTTTGTTTAGCTTATCAATCTTTACTGCACAAAGAATTTTAAAATAACTCAAGGCAAACACAATAATTTGGTTTTTCAAAACAAAGGGCTTTCAATCTATGAGTCTCTCTTTGCAAATCACTGTTTTCTTTTGTCGCTTAAAAACAGATTAATCAGTTTTGACCTGTGTGCAGAGATCTAATGTTGATACAATTTATATAGTTAATATTAATCTGGTTTCTGAACATTTATCCAAATTCAAGTTATCACACTACAAGAACTTCCCTCTGCTACATAAAGCAAATTTATCTGTTTCTCTTTCACATAATTAACAACCTATTATTTGTGTAATATTCACAATTTAAAGAACCAGTAGCTGCCTAGCTAATTCACATCAACTGATGATAATCTTACTGAAATTTGTATTCCAGATCCAAATTTACATTAGCAAACATCACAATATTAAAATAAAACATTCAAAGTTTACTTCCTAGCATCTTTGGGGGAGGACAGAAAGCGGACAAAAGTTTCAGAATCGGCATTTCGTCATCCTATCAGTCCTTTCATATAAACTGTCACATTTTCTGCTGGAAAGTCATCTTCAACAAAATGTTTTTCTAAGAAACTATTGCTTTCCTCAAATCCCTTCCCTCCCCTGCAAAAAAATAGAAAATAAAAACTTTACATGCTCAAATATTCAAAATGTCATATTTGTAAGTCAAAATCAAGTCAATTTCCTCAGCATGTTTTGAAATATTTCATAATCTGCTTACAATTAAGATTTGTTTACAAAGTAAAAGAAGGAAAGACATGGTGACCTTCAACTTAATGTTTCCTTGTTTCTTTTTTAAAAATTATCTGATGTCAGTAACAGTTTGTAAGACTTGGGAATATTTTTTACATTAAACTTCCTTTTCAGCTGGGTGTGGTGGTGCATGCCTGTAATCCCTGCACTTTGGGAAGCCGAGGAGGGCGGATCACAGGGTTCTCAAGAATTCAAGACCAGCCTGGCCCAAATTAGCCAAGCATGGTGGCACATGCCTGTAGTCCCAGATACTTGGGAGGATGAGGCAGGAGAATTGCTTGAACCCAGGAGGTGGAGGTTGCAGTGAGCCAAGATCAAGCTCTTGTACTCCAGTCTGGGCTACAAGAGCAAAACTGTCTCAAAATAAAGAATTAAAATAAAATAAAATAAATAAACTTCCTTTTCACTTTTTCTTTGGATAGATGCACAATAAAATTATGACTTTAAAAAACATCTGGACTGAACATCTTAATACATTTTTGTTTTAGTACAGAAAAATCAAAGACTTAATTTCTATGTTTTTACCAAAAATTTCTAGACAAATCTAACTCATTTTAAAAAATTATTTATTTATTTATACCATGTCACCAAGAAGTTAAGTTTATTTTTATTTATTTATTTTTAAGACAAAGTCTCCCTCTATCATCCAAGCCGGAGTGCAGTGGCACAATCTCAGCTTACTGCAAGCTCTACCTCCAAGGTTCAAGCGATTCTCATGCCTCAGCCTCTAGAGTAGCTGGAATTACAGGCATGCTCAACCATGCCTGGCTAATTTTTGTATTTTTAGTAGAGATGAGGTTTTGCCATGTTGGCCAGGCTACTCTTGAACTCCTGACCTCAAGTGATCTGCCCACCTCGGCCTCCCAAAGTGCTGGGATTACAGACATGAGCCACTGCCCCAACCACATTAAGTTTAATAAGTTATTATTACTACTACTGGTGGTAATATTGTTATTAACAATAGCTAACATTTTTATCATTAATAACAACAAGAAGCAGCACTCCATTTATTTAGTGTGGTGAGTGGTGATTTACCTACATTCTTTCATCTAATGTAAATCTCAAAGCATCCTGGGACGTAGGGTTTTAGGGTTTTTGGTTTCTACTTTACCAAAAAGAAACCTGTAGAGGGCAGCACATGATTAGTCCTGTGTTGTGTCTCTCTGGCTTTCCTCTCTCCAAGGGCTGCCCTAAACGTTCCAATCTTCACAATTAAAAAAAAACGTAACATTCACAAAAGAGCTGTTGTATTATTAACATTAGTATTTTTTTTTTTTTGAGATGAAGTTTCTCTCTTGTTGCCCAGGCTGGAGTGCAATGGTGCGATCTCAGCTCACTGCACCCTCCATCTCCTGGGTTCAAACGATTCTCCTGCCCCAGCCTCCCCAGTAGCTGGGATTACAGGCATGTGCCAGCCGCCGGGCTAATTTTTTATTTTTAGTAGGGATGGGGTTTCTCCATGTTGGTCAGGCTGGTTTTGAACTCCTGATCTCATGTGATCTGCCTGCCCTGGCCTCCCAAAGTGCTGGGTTAATAGACATGAGCCACAGCACCCAGCCAATACTAGTATTTTAAGTTGAATCATTGTATTTTAAAACTGAAATACACTATGTTTAAAAAAAAACTCACAGACAAGGGAAAAAACTCACACAAACAGGCCTAAAACTGAGAAGCTCCTGGCCAGGCAGAAAGACTCACACTGGGGGGCTGGGTGTGGTGGCTCACACCTGTAATCCTAGCACTCTGGGAGGCTGACATGGATGGATCACTTGAGGTCAGGAGTTCGAGACCAGCCTGGCCAACATGGTAAAACCCCGTCTCTACAAAAAATACAAAAATTAGCTGGTATGGTGGTGTGCACCTGTAATCTCAGCTCCTCAGGAGGCTGAGGCAGGAGAATCTCTTGAATCCACGAGGCAGATGTTGCAGTGAGCCAAGATTATGCCACTGCACTCCAGCCTGGACAACAGAGCAAGACTCCATCTCAAAATAAATAAATAAATACTCATACTGGGAGTTGCAAGGCAAAGGCCATCAAGGCCAAGCCAAAGCAAAGAAGTGGGTAGGGGCCACCGCCACTGCTTGCCAGGGCAGGGAGGCAAGAATGGGTGGGGCAAGTGTGGGACCAGACAAGGAAGGATGGGGCTCCAGCCTGAAAAGCTGGACCAGGGAGTGGGCGAGAAGAGACAGAGACTGGGGGAGGAAGGATAATATCAAGCTGGGATCTGACGCCAGTGGAGGGTACTGAGAGGGAGACAAGGAAGGATGGATGGGCCTGAGGAAGCTAGAAAGGCCCCAATGGGGCAGCTGAAAGAAGCAAAAGCCCTGGGGTACATGTCCCCGTCATCCCAGGACACAGTCTAACCTCTTTATATGTAGCAGTCTGTGTCCAATAAGATGAGTCAATGCATCATTTGTGCACCACATAACATCACTTCAGCCATCTTCCTGGGCAAAGCACATGTTTATAGAAAGCACAGACTCAGTGAGCCACCCTGCCTGAAACCATTCAAACAGCCAACTGATCATGTCTGCTCCTCTCCAGAAGTCAGGCACTGTAGTCCAGCTGCCACTGAGCACACCCAAGAAGGAGCAGAGCTGCTGCTGCTGCTAAATTAACACCCAAGCTTTTAAGGAACTTGCCTTACAACATGAGAAACCCCCCAGACCAAAGCACCAATGTGTGCCAATCTCACCTTGTGTAATGAATATCCAGACTCAAAGATAATAGGGGGAAGCAGGAGGAGGAAAAACATGTTTGGACGAAACATTTCTTCTTCCTGTAAATAGAAAATGGGTATCTTAAGAGGCACGAAATTTGTGTAATTAAGAAATAAATTCATCAATAAAGAGCCAAAATAATTCTCTCAGGGCCTGGTATAGTAGAAACGTACACCGTTTAAATAACTACTTGACAATAAAATCAAGCAGAATGAGAGGTCCCCTCACACCAAAAAAAATAAAACTGCATTTTGTTATTATTATATTATTATTTTGAGACAGTCTTGCTCTGTTGCCCAGGCTACAGTGCAGTGGTGCAATCACAGTTCCCTGCAGCTTCAAGCTCCTGGGCTCAAGTGATCCTCTCATTTTAGCCTCCTGAGGAGCTGGGACTACATGTTCGCACCACCACACTAAGCTAATTTTTTTCTTTCTTTTTTTCTTTTGTAGATACAGGGTCCCATTGTGTTGCCCAGGCTAGTCTCAAACTCCTAGCCTCAAGCAATCCTCCCAACCTAAGCTTCCCAAAGCGTGGAGATTATAGGTATGGACGAGATTTTTAAAGGTGACTGGCAAAAAGAAATAGCACAACAAACTGCTTCCAAACACACAGTAGTATGTTTTTTATTCCTTAGTACACAAAGAAAATTAATCTGAATATAGAAAATTTCAATTCTGGTTGCATACTTTCAAAACAAGTCCACAAATTGGAATCCTCCAGGAAAAAAGTAATGGTAAGTCCTAAAACAATCCACTCAGTAAATCCTACATATGGTTAAAATAGCTCTGTCTTCTTTCTGTTTGTCACAGACAACTCTGCCATTTTCCAAAGTCTGATATGATCAAACAGTCCCCAGTGGATATTCTTTGGACTTGGGACTTGGCTGGAAAGACAGCCCCTTACCATGTATATGTCTTGCTATAAAAGAATGCCTGTGGCTGGGTAATTTACAAAGGAATAATATTTATTTGGCTCATGATTCTGCTGTCTGGAAAAGTTCAAGACTGGGTATCTGGTAAGAACTTTAGGCTCCTTCCACTCATGGAGGAAGAGAAGAGGAGCCAGAGTGTACAGAGATTCATGGCAAGAGAGGAAGCGGGGCCGGGCGTGGTGGCTCAAGCCTGTAATCTCAGCACTTTGGGAGGCCGAGGCGGGTGGATCACGAGGTCAAGAGATCGAGACCATCCTGGTCAACATGGTGAAACTCCGTCTCTACTAAAAATACAAAAAATTAGCTGGGCATGGTGGTGCGTGCCTGTAATCCCAGCTACTCAGGAGGCTGAGGCAGGAGAATTGCCTGAACCCAGGAGGCAGAGGTTGCGGTGAGCCGAGATTGCGCCATTGCACTCCAGCCTGGGTAACATGAGTGAAACTCCGTCTCAAAAAAAAAAAAAGAGAGGAAGCCGGGGGCAGGGAGGCAGGACCAGGCTCTTTTTAACAATCAGCTGTATAGGGAACTAACAGAGTAAGAACTCACCCACCACCCACCACCCAGCAAGGGCATCAGTCTATCCATGAGGGTCTGCCCCCATGACCCAAACACCTCCAACACTAGGATCAAATTTCAACATGAAGTTTGGGGAGACAAACACCCAAACCACAGCATCATGCTTCCAGACTTGAATATTAAATGCCATTAGGAAAGATGTTTCTAGAATATAACCAGCCATCTTTGGAGGGATGAAACAATAACAATTTCATTTTCTATATTATTAATATATCTCTCTAGTTGTTGGTAGAATTTGGGAGAAATATATATTGGTCCTCAAGCCCAAAATGGTTATGTGTAATACACAGTCTATTTAAAAATGCAAAATCAGGCCCGGTGCAGTGGCTCACGCCTATAATTCAGTACTTTGAGAGGCTGAGGTGGGCAGATCACGTGAGGTCGGGAGTTCGACACCAGTCTGACCAACTTGGAGAAACCCCATCTCTCCTAAAAATACAAAATTAGCTGGGCATGGTGGCGCATGCTTGTAATCTCAGCTACTTGGGAGGCTGAGGCAGGAGAATTGCTTGAACCCAGGAGGCAGAGGTTGCAGTGAGCCAAGATCGCGCCATTGCACTTCAGCCCGGGCAACAAGAGCAAAACTCCATCTCAAAAAAAACCAAAATTAGGCCCTTTTTCGTATGAATATTTTCCCATGTCACAATTTTGATGGTCTAATTTCTTGTCAAAACCCCTATTCCAAAGAATGCCTAAATGTATTCCTACAAATGTATAGCTGTTACCATAAAGACTAAAAAATATTCAAAAAAGGCTCAAAAATAGAAGCAAATGATGACTTCTGAAATGCCTTATTAAGTTTTAAAATAGCAGCATGTACAACAAGCTCATGATTCAGACTGGGACTGTGTGAAAAAAAATGGGCCGAGCTCTGGCGGGTTTTATGGGGCAACCTATTCCCAGGGTCTGTGCAGCAGGACCACTATATACAGCCTTTTGGAGGTACAAAACTAATCCCTCCTGGGAATAAGGAGAATCTACCTATAATGGGGTTACACAGTGTACCCCAACCCCCACCCCAATTCATGTCTACCAGGAACCTCAGAATGTGACCTTATTTGGAAATAGAATCTCCGTAGATCTAATGAAGGTAAGGATCTAGATGACATTACACTAGATAAGGGAAAGCCAAATGCAGCAAACGTTGACTTGTAAGAGACAGAACAAGGCACACAGAGAAGAAGCCCATGTGAGCACAGAGACAGGGCTGATGCAGCCACAAGCCAAGGAAAACCTGGGCTACCAGAAGCTGGAAGGCACAATGAAGAATTCTTTTCTAGAGTCTTTGGAGGGAACCTGGTCCTACTGACACCTCGACTTCTCACTTCCAGCCTCCAGAACTGTGAGAAAACAAATCTTTGTTGTTTTAAGCCACTCAGTTTGTGGTAATTTGTTACTGCAGCCCTTATGAATACACCAACTTTCAGGGAAATAGTGTTGTAGCTCCTCTTGTCAATGACTCCCCCAAAATGGTCTGAGGTGGTTTTAGGTGGCACTAGAGCAATGTGTGTCAAATACCACTGACCTCACGGATTGAAAGTCAGCCCCTTTTGATTATTTCTTCAGTCCCAAATAAATCGAAGACATCTTAGGATGGCAATACTGCCTCTAAGGGCTCTCTCCAACGTGCTGATCTCCCGTGACAGACAGCAGCTTCAGCTGCCCTGATGCTTCAGCAGGCATCTGTACTACTTCATTTTTATCATGTTTACAAAACAATATTAGTTTCTCAATTAAAATAGTACTAATGTTGCCTTGAAAATAAATATGGCTGGGCACGGTGGCTCATGCCTGTAATCCCAACACTTTGGGAGGCCAAGGTAGGTGGATCATGAGGTCAGGACTTGGAGACCAGCCTGGCCAACCTGGTGAAACCCTGTCTCTACTAAAAATACAATAATTAGCTGGGAGTGGTGGCAGGTTCCTGTAATCCTAGCTACTCAGGAGACTGAGGCAGGAGAACTGCTTGAACCCAGGAGGTGGAGGTTGCAGTGAGCTGCAGACCATGCCATTGCACTCCAGCCTGGGCAACATAGTGAGACTGTCCCCAGCCCTCCTGCCCCCTGGCAAAAAAAAAAAGTATATAGGACAGGCAGGGTGGCTCATGCCTATAATCCTAACACTTCGGGAGGCCAAGGTGGGAAGAGCACTTGAGCTTAGGAGTTCAAGATCAGCCTAGGCAGCATAGTGACATCCCATCTCTACAATTTTTTTTTTTATTTCTTTTTTTTTTTT